GTAATGAAATATTTCTAACTATTTGCATTTATAAGTAATCATGTTTGTTGGTTTAAGATTAGGGTAAAAATCTATTCGTTAAAGTTTTAAAAAATGTGAATAAACTCTAAACTGCCAAGAAAGATTGAAATTCTTTTAAAGCATTTTTTTTTCTTGTAAGATGGCAAGAAAAATGCATTAGGATATTTGTCATCGTCTTTATTAGTCTTACTTCATGTAAATGGGAAACCATGTTTCCTAACAACCAGCCTAGTATTCTTTAATCGTCTCGTCTGAGCAAAGGGGACAGGGGTGTGGTGAGACCTATTTGTAACAGTCATAACACTTGGAAAGAATAAGCACAGTCAGTTCAGCTTTAACTTCTGTTTTGAAAACATGAACTTGCTCCCACACAATTACTATATTAGGGAGCAGTCTGAACTTAATTCAAATGTCCTAATTTTGCCTTTGCTTTTAGGCAGGATGTCATACCTACAGATTCCCAATCGAGGATCAAAAATGTTGTTTTCAATATGAGGTTGGTTGCATCCACAGATGTGAAACCCAAGGGTCTGGAGGATTGACTGTATATTTATTGAAAAAAAAATCCATGTATACGTGGATCAATGCAGCTCAAACCACATTGTTCAAGGGTAAACTGTATATATAATGCATTGTAGAGACTGCCAGTTCACAAAAATGTTTCCTACCTTCTTTGGGCACACAGCTGTTAATGTAACTTTTTGTGTGTTTGCTGTTATTAAGGCACATCTGTAGAAAATTTAGAAGTGCTAGGTCTGCAGTATATTTACAGCTGTTGGAATCCATGAGGTGATGCTAAGTCTCAAAGCACTGGTAACCCTTGCTGCCTACCAAGTTTGCAAGAGAGTCTGACCAATGTAGGTATTTCAAATAAGGTTCCTTAGTTTTGACTCAAAGTCTGGTCATAAATTAAGATTTATGAATTAATATTCAGCTGTAAAAATTGTTATGTAACTGAATAACCTAAACTGCCATCGGTGATTAAATACACATGAATTCTTGTGAGCAGCCAACCTCTACTTTTGCATGGCAACTCTGCAAACCTCTGGCTCACTTGGTTTTGCTGAATGCTGCTCACCTGGAACTATTTTCATTGCTCATTAGCAATCAATCAGAAGGTATTAATAGAACATTTAAAATGCGCAAACCCATTAGGCATGGCAAGAGGTGGAAGCCCAGGTCCCTGCCCTCCCACCCTCCCACAGGAGATTGCAAACAGCAGAAGAGAATGACACTCAAACCACTGTGTTCCCACCTTCTAAGTTTTTGTCACTGTTGGGTGGCAAGAGATGAGGGTGAGATAAGATAGGGAGGAAGGAGGCATAACAACAACAAAAGAGACATGGAAATGAAGCGTCAGTGAGATTTGGGGATTATATGCAGTAATCAGGTGGGCTATTTGAGGAATAGTTTCTACATAAGCAGAAACCTATTTAGCACGTTTGCTTCTAAATTATCATAGATCTTAAATGGTTTTAAGAAAGATCTCATTTGCCCATTATGATAAAAGCCCTAGAGGAAAAAACAAATAGAGACATTCAAATAAAGTGCTCAAATGCCACGTAAAAGAAAACGTACATTGAATTGTGCCAAGTACCACAGTGTAAGTTCTTTATTAAATCCACCCACATAACAAGCCTTCATTAAAGACAATCCCTGCCAAGTCCTACACACTAGCATTGAACACATACTTCCCTCAGCATTCAAGAACTTTGGTTTCCATGAACCTCATACAAAGCGTCAGTATAATAAATGTTATTTAACCTGGAGGGAGGGTTTTGAGTGAGGACATCTGCAAGTACCAAGACAATACAATCTACGACAAGTCACCTCTTCTCAATAGGCTTTTCCCTTGGTTCAAGACCATTCTCCTCTTGTCTAGTATCCTAAGCAGTTACAGCCGGCCCAGAGAAGGCCCATTGGAGCCAGTCCTGTATAGCTAAGGGAGAGAGTGGCAGAGACAGGAACCGCCCCTTCCACACCCAACTCTTGTCTCCCACAGGATCCCTAGGAAGCCAAGCTTCATCAGAAACACCTCAAATCCACAGTGTTGTCCCTGAGGGAGGGTTGGCCTAGGACAAAAGCCAACTCAGATCCCACTCCCTCCAAGTCTTGGTCACCTCTCGAGCCTAAGAGCGAAGTCTCTAGGAAGAACAAATGATCGGATCACGGAACGAACTCCCAAGGAGTGCTTCCTGGGTTTCCTTTTTCATTCTGCACAAATATGGAAGGCTTGCTTCCCAGTGTAAGAGGGTTCCCCTTCCAACGAACTGGATACCTCCATACCAAGAGCTTTTCTCGGAGCTCTGGCAATGGAGAAAATTCACAAAACCGAGAATGACGATGGAAGGATATTGGTTAGATGGGATTTGATAAAGTAGAGTACAGAAAGTCTGAATTGTGCAGATATGAAAAGTGACTCACCATCACCTCTATAAATAATTAGACTATTGGCATTTTGTATTTTTAAAAAATACCCATTTTGCCAAAACCGGTTTGGCTCAGTGGATAGAGCGACAGCCTGCGGACTGAAGGGCATTTTGTATTTTTAAAAAATACCCATTTTAACGATCTTTATTGGGTAGAGTTGCTGCAAGTGGAAAAATACAGTAAATCCTAGCTTCATGTCATGGATAGGTTTTGTAACTTGATGACGTATAAAGAAACCAATTTTACCAGAGGCGAATGGATACAAGTAAGAGTTAAAATCCTAAGGCATCTCATCAATGTTATAATGATACAACACAAAGAAATGATGTTATTTCAGGACCTGCTGTAATTGGTTCCTCTTAATAAAGGAAAAAACTAGATAAAACGAGTCTAAAATTTTTTTCCTAATTAAATTTCTACTGTAGTGAATTGACGAATCTGATTATTTTTCTGAAAGACCTTAGGTAAGACGGTATAGTTAACACTCTACCAGCAAATTCAGAGGAGGCTGGTGAGGAGGAGGATTTCTATTTATTAATTACTTACCAATGTGCCAGGCACTATTGTAACAGCTTTCCATATATCATCTAATTATCCCAACGAAGCAGGTACTACTTATTAGTCTCATTTTACAGTTGATGAACCACAGGCACAAATTTACAGTCTCTTGTATGGTCGGCATACTATGGCCTTTGGGTGCAATCTGGCCCTAAAGTTTTACTGCAACTTCCACACCCATTCCTGGCTGCTTTTGAGCTACAACGGCAGAGCTGAGCAGCTATGACAGACCTCAGGGCCTAGAAAGCCTAAAATACTAACTATCTGTGGACTTTATAGAAAATGCCCACCAAGGCTTCATGCAAAACATGGTTAATTCATAGATAAAGAAAAAAGGGTAAGAACATTTGGACAGCTTGAAATAGAAGTTTTACTGAAACTTTCTTAGCAAATATTCTGTCTTTTATTTATATTTTTTTCTTCTCACCACCAAAAAGGACTTATTTGGGGAAAAAGAAAGGATTGCAAATCTGGAACCTGCAGACATGGCAACCTACATGCAAGTTCACTTGACCTGCTTTCTTTCATTCATATTTTACTTTATTACTTCTCACTCAAGGTGCACCAACCAGCCCAGAAAAAGCAAGAGTGTTCACGGACTATCAGTTCAATAACTAAAGGCTTCTCTCTCAGTTTAGTGAGTTTCGATTAGGTGGAAAAGTTTCCAAAAAGCAAAAGCAAAAGAAGGGAAAGACGAAAGAAAGCTTTGACAACCATAAATTTCCTATTAGGTTGTAAAATTTTTGGCAGTTTCACAGGTATTTCTTCTCAAGTACAAATGACATCATTGTTGAAATTAAAAAAACAATTGGCTGGGCTTATTTGACATTTGGTATCACATATTGTTTTGGTTGAGCATCAATTGATTTTTCTATTTTTACTGGGAAGTTACGTCATAGCTATTTTTAGTCGGCAGTGTCTGGTTCTATTCTTTGTGGAACTCGGCACACAATCATGCCTTAGAATTTTTTTGCTCACGCTGTAAGAATGTATGTATTTGGTGGGGAATGTTCTCATCAGTAAATGTCCTACTATTTTCTGAAACATTTCAGAATAAAAGTCTAAAACAGGAAGTAGGCACTAACAAATGACAGAATTTGGTATGTTACTAGGAAGCAAAGTGAATGTAGCCTTACAGTATGTCTTTAAAATATTAACATTTTCATCATTAATTGTGAATGAGTTAACATCTGTGCTATTCTGCTAAGTCTTAGTTAATCCTTCAAAACCTACCTATAAATCAAAGTCAAATTAAAAATTGAATTTCCAGAGTACGAAAGCTGGCACATAAAGTGGAGCTCGATTTGCACAGCCAAATAATTTATGCAAACTTGTTCGCTGCAAAAGTGAACAGAAATTCCCAAGACAAGACAAAGCCCACAGTTTTTCTCTACCCGTCACCACTTTCCACCGAATGCCAACCGACACAGAAAACAGCCTAGAACAGCAGTTCCCAAGCTTGTCTGCTTATCAGAATCACCTGGGAGCTTTCACAATTCCACCTCCAGGCCACACCTCAGGCTCATGAAATGACAGTCTCCGGAGGTGGGACCGAGGTATCAGTACTTTTGGAATCCCAGACACCAGTAGAGAGTTGTGATCAGGGCGAAGATAGCCTGATGGGCGCAGTCCAGATACACATGACACCTGCAATTCAGGAGGCCTGCAGCCCTCCTCCATCCTGTCTGCTCCACTAATTGCCAGGCACTCAGACCCCTGGTGCAAGAGTTGATAGCACAACACATAGGTAAATGCATTGGTATCATCATTCTTGCTCCTAACACATAATCAATTCGTTAATGCAAACATTAAGAGGATTCTAACACAGTGAGTACTGCCTTAGGGTTTCTCTTAAGTTATGACCTGTTTAAACATTCACACCATTTCTGCATCTTAGGAGACAACACATCCCCCACAGCTGGCTTTGCTTTTCATGTTGCAAGCTTATTTATCCTGCAAAACAAACTAAAAAAAAACATAGCTTGCCTTACCTCTACGATGCTTTTTAAATCTTGCACATAAGTCCTTTCCGTCTCCAGGATTTCCTGAACAACTCTGTCCACGTAGAGGAGCTTGGGGCTGGTGGCCGATTCAGCACCTGTTTTGGTGGCCCCGTTGGCCTCCACCCTCCGCTGGGCCCAGGGCTGCCTCTCGCTGCCCGTGTCTGGGCTCTGTTGCCTGGCCAGGCTCTCCCTCTGCAGCTCGCTGCTGGAAACCAGCCTGGCTGGAATCAGCTCCAGTTTGATGGCTCCTGCTTCTTTATCCTGGGGAAACAAGCCCAAGTGGCTGTTGGAAACTAAGGTCATTCGGCTGCCAAAGGAACCATGACTGTCCCGGGAAGAAGCCGAGGACGACGTGGAGCCGAAGCTGACGGGGCGGTCGCTGTCCGAGAGCTCCATCGTCTTCCGTTCTTGGCAGCGGGAATGCTTGGCTGTGGTCTTGGGATCTGGGTCTTCGGTTACAGCTAATGGCACATCAAGATGCAACTGGTGGACATCTAAATGCATTAAAGGAAAAAAAGAAAAAAGGACGAGATAAGCAAGGTATTTTAAAATGACATCAAACAGAAAATTTAAAGGTTAAAACTCACTCCAAATACATGGGGTCAAAAACAAAGAGGCAGTGAGCTAGTTACAGAAGGACATGCAGAGGTACCTTGGTAGGTGTCAGAGGTTCTAAAGCATCACCTGGGACCATGCTAGAAATGCGGTCTCCGGCACCACCCGGACCTACTGAACCTCAGTCTGCATTTGGACACGATGCTGGTGCTGTGTGCACACGAGTTAGGGTTTTCGAGGCACTGCAACAAATGGGACCACCTGGGATGACTAACGGATGCAGATTGGTCCCGGTTTTCTGAATTAGAAGCTCAGTAGTCAGGGCATCAGGAGTCTATAGCGTTAACAAGCACCACAACTGATTCTTATGGACCTAAAATGCACCCTAGGCGATTCTTATGGAAGCTTGCGAAACACTGTTCTTCATTTTGGGCATTCCACCTTAATTCCACAAAGGTTTAAGCCTCCATCCTGGGACCACTGCTACTTACTCAATGGATGCTGACAATTTGCATTTTACTAGGAAACAGCATTAGAGAAAGTGTCCCATGGTTCAGATTTTTCTAATCCTGGGCAAGAAAAACCCAACTATTAAGACCCACACCCCCTTTAAAACTTAGCCGCTCACCACGTGTCTCTCAATCTCTACCTGGAAGCCGACATTCCATTGGGGTAGATATGAAGTTACGCCATTACAGAGCATGTCTGATTAACCACAACACCCCCCATGTAACGTTAGATAACATGACAGTGGGATCATACAATTAAGTTATTAATAAACATAGGAATTCAATTATGAGAAAATAATGTATTTTGAAAGAAACGGGGCTGCTTGTGTTTAGAAGAGGGTATGAGCAGAGAATATCTGTGAAGTTTAAAGGTTACTCAGTGCCCATAGCACTGGAATCTTAGGCCCATAAAGGTCCTGAATGAGGTTTAACCGTCCCAAAGCTATTTTGGTGAAATATAAAGTTCCAAGCATCTTCATTTGTAAGGCAGGATCGACATTTCCCCCCTTGATGAGGTCCCAGGTTTACAGAAACAAAAAGCCTTGTAATAAACAGTGTGATTAATATCATTTTGGTAGATTGTCTTACCACCAAAATCCATGTTTACGGATTTTGTTTTAGAGAATTAGAAGAGAAACTTATGTTTGGAGAATTAGAAACTTATGTTTGGAAGGTTAAAACAAGACAAACACAATAACAAGAATATAGATTAATGATCATCTTTTAAAAGGAACATGAATTTTATTTCACTCTATAGTAAACGTCACCAAACAGCTGGTACCAATATTTCTAGAATATAAAGAATCCATCAAGTCTGCATCCCGACTTTTTCTGGAGAGTTTCTATCCGTGGCAAATATTAGTGCCAAGTTATAATGCAAATATTAAAATTAATGAATGTAAAACACAGGAACTAACTTGGGTCAATAAGGAAGCATGGTAAGAAAGTGTGGGAAATGAGTAATTGATCAGCACAACCACTACCACGTGGTACACCACAAATTTTTAAAGCTTTTGCAATATTCTTTCTGCTTGCCCCATAACAACTTTATGGCCTATAAAACACAGATGGGTTATAGTAGTTAAAATGCACTTGCCCTAAAAAGCATGATCCAACTTGAGGGTGGCAAAAATCCAAGAAGTAGCCAGGCACTGAGGTGTGCTTGCTGCAAAGGATGCTTGCCCACATTTAAGGAATGATGTTAAGAAAGTCCTGGGCAGTTCAACGTAGGAGCAGATACAAGGTTTTCTTCCTTCTGGCATCCACCATAACCATAACCATGAGGTTCATCACACTCTCACAAGTGGGCATTATCTCAGAAAGTATCTGGAGACCCTTCAAGGTCCCAAGGGTCGAATGAGGCTATGAGTTGGGACCAAATATAAGCTGGCATACTGTCTATGAAGCTAGGGCACCAGGAGGCTCTCAGTCAACCTCCCCATAGATCTGCATACACTGGTTTCCAGGGCAAGTTATGGTTTTCTGGCTAGCCAGGAATCAACCTTCTCTCCAGTACAGAAAACTATATTTAATAGTTACATAACTCTTGGCAAATGCTCATTATCAGGATCGGTGAAAATGAACACAATAGAGACTCATTTGTTACTTACTTTCACTCTAGTTAGCCAGCCAATATTGGGACCTAGGAATGAAAGAGGAACAAAAAATTGGAGTGATTGTAGAGGAGTCCATGTTGGGCAGCTGGGAGTGACGGGGCAAAATGGGGTAAAAGGGGATCGCTTCATGGCAGAGTCAAACAGCAGCATGAATTGGGCCCTGCTCCAAGGAAGGAATCACATGTTGCACTACCAGGCCATGCAGCTGATCCTTGAATTACTTAGGTTTGAACTGTGTGGGTCCACTTATACACAGATCTTTTTAAATAAATACCTGTTCTGTTTTTGATTGGGAGTCTGCACATGCAGACTTGAGCATCTGTGGATTTTGGTATCTGTGGGGTCCTGGAACCAATCCCCTGAAGATTCTGAGGGACAAGTTAAGTTTTGGGGAAATCAAAAGTTATGTGCAGATTTTCTACTGGGCTGGGGTCAGCACCCATAACCCCCGCACTGTTCAAGGGTCAGCAGTATTCTTGGACCCTGGACCGATCAGCCCATTCCTCAGACTGCCAACCAGGCCCTTCAGAAAACAGAATATGAGCTATTTGGTGGCTGTAGTAGTTGGCCAAGTTTACTGCCCCAAATTCAACACCTTCCAAAATTACCAATGACAGGAGTGAAATATTTAAAGCTAGGCTTTAAATGGCAATAATATAAGGCTGCCTTTGCTAATGGGTAACATTTTTCATGTTATTTCATTGCTTAGAAGATAATTACAGTTTTCTCACGTAAGGAAATATACCTCATAAAAACTGTCTAGTCTTGTCCTCACCTCCTTCAAAATAATTTAAGATTTCCACCCTGTCTGACCTATTCTTCATAATACAACTCGCTGACTTTTAATATTTATTTCTAGTGCTGTACTGATCAACACAACAGCCAGTAGCCACATGCCGCTATTAAGCACTTGACATACAACTAGTCTGACTTGGAATGTGCTGTGAGTGTAAAATGCACACCAGATTTCAAAGAATTAGTATGCTATGCAATAAAGAGTATAAAATGCCTCATTAATAATTTTTATATTAATTACATGTTGAAATAATATTTTGTAGTAGTGGGTTAAATGAAATACCTCCTGGATGCATTCCCTTCCCTGTCTCCTCCCCCTACCCTGGCACATATCCCCTAACCTCTAAGGGACTCCATTGAGACTTGCAACCAGGGGAACAATGGGCAGTGGTAGCACATCCCAGGCTAACCCCTGGAACCTGTCTTCAACGCCCCCTATTATCTGACTTCCCAGTGAGCTAAGGCAGCCTAGCCTAGGCTCTCCTATTACATCTATGCCCTTCCTTGTTTCACTCTCCTAAGTATATTTTTGCTGCAGTCTATACATTCTTACTTGCTTTTCTTTAAAAAAAAATCTCCTAAATATTCTTTTTACTGTTTCATTTTACTCCCTTTAATGTGGCTACTAAAAATTTACCCAGTCTATACATTCTTACTTGCTTTTCTTTAAAAAAAATCTCCTAAATATTCTTTTACTGTTTCATTTTACTTCCTTTAATGTGGCTACTAAAAATTTACGAATTATATATGTGGCTTGCATTATATTTTAGTTGGACAATGCTGATCTAGGATATTCTAGATGATTTTATGATTCTGTAAGATTTAAATTTACTTCCTTATCAATCTTTGTTTAGATAATAATGAAAGAAGAGGTGCATATATTTCAAAATTTTCCCTTTTTTTAAAAAAAGCTCCATTCATTAGTACACAATATTGTTATGAATTGGCCAAAACGGAGTTGGGAGACAATCCATCCCTGCATCCTAGATATTGAGGTAACTGATTTCCCATGAGAAGGTGAAACCCGAGCCGAGCCAGAACACTGCTGAGCAGGAAAGCCTTCCCCTCTTCCCCGAGTGAAAGATGTCGGCAGGTTGTACTACCATTTGGGTAATTTGATGCTTTGCTTTCCTTTCTGTTTCATCGCCTCTCTCTCTTTCTTCCCTAATCCCCGATACAGGGCTAATAATAGAGCATCTTCTGCAAACTTGCCAAGCATTGCGAAGGGCCCAGGTCAGGGGTGTTGTGACCATGAATACCCTAAAATAAGCTGCTTCCACCCACCTTGAGGGTCTTGGTCCATTTGACCCTTTGTAAACCCACAGATGGTGGTGGTGGAAGCCCAGGTCCAGGGGCATTGGGGTCCTAATGATTCTTATGACTGGAAGTACCATCAGCCTAAAAGCCATCAGAATAAATATTCCTTCTTGTGCCATCTTCAATTTAAGAAAAACGGCGACACAGCTACCATGTAGATACCCTTTCACACATTTGACTTCATGACGGGTCCCTCTCTCTAATTTTCTTTTTTTTAAGTGAAAGAGCTTTAACTCCATGGCTTGTGATTGTTTGCTCTGCAAACTTCCATTATTCTAATTGCTCTCCTTTGGAATGTCACTGTCAGAATCAAACACAGCTCTTGTGGCTCTAACTTGTCTCTCGGGCTGATTTGGGGTTGAGGCAGAACTTTCCATGGCAAGTAAAGCCCAAGCTTCCTGTGACCGTGTTTACATGTTGAAGGGGGGACGGGTGGGCCCACAGTGGCCACTTCCTGTCACAGCTCCCAAGGACAGTTTCACCAGGCAGAGCTGCACAGCAGCGACGGAGGAGGGATCAGGATTTCCAAATTCTGCTCGTTGCTATTCCAGACTACACACACCTAACCGAGTTCCTTGGCAGGACAAGCATGAAAATCAGGAGAATTTGTTGTGCTCAAGACCAATGAATAAAATGATCTAGCTCCCTGTTACACTGCCTGCAAATTGCCCAAAGAGGGAAGGCATGAGAGAGACGAAAATA